ATTTATGCTGCGTATTCACGATTTATGATGCGTACTCAAGATTTATGCTGCGTATTCACGATTTATGCTGCGTATTCACGATTTATGCTGCGTATTCAAGATTTATGCTGCGTATTCAAGATTTATGCTGCGTATTCATCTCATACTGAGGAATATTTGATGTTGTGGATTTATCACAGAAGTTTACGGTCGTACGACGTCAAACAAAGGCGGTAAGTGAAGTAATCCCACGACTTGTAGCTGTTTTCACCATGCTACGTGTTAGCTAACAGGAGAGCTCATCGGGATGGTCAAAGGAAAAGTTTACAAGACAGTGGTGATGTTGGGAGCAACTGGTCTGGAGACAGTGGTGATGTTGGGAGCAACTGGTCTGGAGACAGTGGTGATGTTGGGAGCAACTGGTCTGGAGACAGTGGTGATGTTGGGAGCAGCTGGTCTGGAGACAGTGGTGATGTTGGGAGCAACTGGTCTGGAGACAGTGGTGATGTTGGGAGCAACTGGTCTGGAGACAGTGGTGATGTTGGGAGCAACTGGTGAAGTGGCAGAAATGGAGATGTTGAGGTTCTTCGGAGTGACGGGGATGAAGAGCCGACAGATCCTTCTAGCAGCTACCGTGATGTGTCTGATGTTAAATCAGAGTTGTCAGATTTAACAGTCACGGTTTTTTAAGTTGAAAACTGTAAATGTTGTTAAAGTCTCTTTTCTTCAAGAGCTAAGTAGAAGCTACACGCAACACGGCCGGCTTGCCGTGCTGTAGCCGTGTTCAGACACGAGCAAAACGCTGCGTAACGAGACATTTGAGTTCACGTTTACAAATTAATGTTTGAAACAAAATAAACGTGGCCGAGTATGAAAACCTGGAAAACTGTTCGGTTTGACACGATGAAGCGGTTTTTTTTTTGGTTCAACATTTTATTAAAGTATTTACATTTCAAGCTTTCAAAGTTTAGTTTAGATAAATCAGATTAATCACAGCCCCAGAGTGATTAATCTGATTAAATGTTTTCATTGATTGACAGCTTTAGCCAAAACACAAGCTAAAAGCTAAATCAATCGAGCAAAAACAAAGAGAAGAATAAATTTTATTTAGAGTCGGAACAAACCTGAACGTCCGATCCGGTGGAGGTACGTCTCGGCGTTCTTAGGGAAGTCAAAGTTGATGACCACGTTCACGGCCTGGATGTCGATTCCTCGGGTGAACAGATCTGAACGAGGACACAAACAATCAGACCAGTCCACGAGGACAACAGGACGAGCCCGGACTGGAGGACAGCCGGTGAGATGTGTCTTTGCTCTCACATATCAAGAGAATCCTAAAACTATGAATAAACGCTTTTATTTATTAACTCGTTCCGATTGTGTGAATGCTGAGTCATCAGAACCGCTTCATGTTTTTAGAACGAAGCGTTGGTAACGAGTGAAAACTCACCGGTGCACACGAGGTTTCTGCACAGCCCGTTCCTGAAGTCGTGAAACACCCGGTTTCTGTATTCCTGCAAACACAACAAATATTGAAAACAAACCGGTCCCTCACCACTTCACGGTTCAACTTCGGCGGACTCACTCTTACTCACGTGATCGGGACGGAACGAAATAAAAAGTCAACTAAAGCAAACTTGGACAGGCGCCGCTAGTTTGTAGTTTTCTTTCAATAAGCCTACACTTTAAGGCCGGTCTAAAGGACTACACTACCCAGAAGCCAACAGTGCTGGCAGCTTCAGGAAGGTCTTGATCTTCAGGGAGGAGCTGTAAATGAGGGAGAGCTGGATCTGGAGGAATACACATCTGCTGCCCTCAGAAACATCAGCAAGTGTGTTGATGATGTCACCACCAGGACCTGAACCAGACACCCTGGAGAACGTAGAGGCCCTGCTGAAAGCCAGGGACATGGCCTTCAGGTCTGGAAACTCACAGGAACTGAGGAGGACAAGGAAACAGCTGGTACAAAGAGGGCCAAAGCCACATATGCACAGAAGATCCAGGGACACTTCTCCTCACAGGAACCACGGAGCATGTGGACCCATCACTGCCCTCAACAAGTTCTAGGCACACTTTGAAGACCCGAACAGACCTCCCAGCACCAGACTCACCTCACCACTGGATCAAGAGCTCCTCAGCGTGACCTCAGCAGAAGTGAGGAGGACCTTCAGGAGGATTAATCCTCACAAAACAACCGGCCCAGACAACCTCCCTGAGAAGGAGCTGAAAGACTGAACCGATCAGCTCTGTGAGGTGCTGGCAGACATCTTTAACACCTCACTTACCCTGGAGACAGTTCCCACCTGCCTGAAGACTGCCACCATCATCCCAGTCCCAAAAAGCTCTACAGTGACTGGTCTGAATGACTATCGGCCAGTGGCCCTCACCCCGATAGTCGCTAAATGCTTCAAAAAACTGGTCATGACTCACATCAAAACAACCATCAACATCAACGAGGACCCTCATCAGTACGCATACCGTGAGAACCGATCAACAGAGGATGCAATCTCCTCTGTGGTCCACACTGCACTCAACCACCTGGAGCAGAAAAACTCTTACGTCCGTATGCTCTTTGTGGACTTCACATCCGCCTTCAACACCATGATCCCCCAAACCCTGATGGACAAACTATCCACACTAGGACTAAGCCCCTCCATCTGCAACTGGGTACTAGACTTTTTAACAAACAGACCACAGTCAGTGAGGATCCACAACCTCTCCTCCTCCACCATAACCCTCAGCACTGGCTCTCCTCAGGGATGTGTGTTGAGCCCCCTCCTGTTTACTCTGCTCACATATGATTGTGCAGCTACCCATCCAGGCTGTCACATTGTAAAGTTTGCAGATGATACAGCGGTGGTGGGATGCATCACAAACAATGATGAGTCCAGCTACAGGCAAGAGGTGGAACACCTGGAGAGCTGGGGCAAAGAGAATAACCTTCACATCAACGTGAAGAAGACGTTCGGCCTGGTTCTGGTCACGTGGGCCGAGGTGGTGGACTACATCCTGGGTGTCCTTCCTGGAGCAGCAGCACACGCATGTCAACCTGGATGGGGCAGTGGGCTTCATCATGCTGCACGGTACCTGAACTGAGCTTCTGCAGAGCTGGTGAGTCCCCATACCATGCTTTGCAGTACATGTACGCAGTACATTTACACAGTACTGTGTGGTACATGTACGCATGTTGGTAACGTTCCTACTTCTTGGATGTGACGGATCAGGTGTGTGGAACTTCGTGATGATGGAGGACCACTGGACTCTGAAGCTCTGAATGAAGACTCCACTCCAGCTGTGGTGGAGCTCCTGAGTCCGGCTCCAACAGTCCCCATCGCTGAGGGCTCGGAGGTGAAGGTCTGTGGTTTTGGACCTGGAGGTCTCCTCTCTAGTCCAGAACTACAAGCGCTCGGAGTTCTGACCCGTCAGAACGTTTCTGTGAACGACCCGTCACAGACGTGATGGTGTTCCTGAAACACGTCCCTGATCCTGTTCTCAGATTTGTGGAGCTCAGCTCTCAGGAGCTGCTTCACGTTTCATGGAAAAGACAAAAACAGGAGAAGAAACATCTGAGCCTCCTGGGCAGATGTTTCCATCACGACTGAACGTCCAGAGAGCAGAACCGGACCGGGTCTGACCTGCATCATCTTGGCGTGGATGTAGAAGCAGGAGTAGCCCAGCTGAGTGATCTTCTTGGCCAGAAGCTCCACCCTCTGGGTGGAGTTACAGAAGATGATGGACTGGTTGATCTGAAGCTGTGGACAGAGAAGGACCAGTGAATAATGCAGCTCCTTCCTCCTCCTCCTCCTCCTCCTCTCTGAAGGCTGCTCCTGCAGGAGGAGGCGCAGCTGGATGTTTGAAGTGAAAGGTGGAGGTACCCTGGAGAAGAGCGTGTTGAGGCAGTGGACCTTCTGCCGCTCCGTCACGTAGGCGTAGAACTGCGTGATGCCCTTCAGGGTCAGCTCCTCCATCAGGTTGATCTCGTACGGTTTCTGAAGGTGCTTCACCTGCAGACAGCTCACGCACGTCAGCGACACGGTTCCACAGCAGCTCGGTTCTGGAGCCGGGCAGAACCGGCCCACGACTCACCATGAACTTCTGAACGCTGATGGGGAACGTTGCAGAGTAGAGCAGGATCTGCCGATTCTTGGCCAGGAAGCTGATGATGTCCTCGATGAGCACCACGAAGTCCTGAGACAGCAGCTTGTCGGCCTGAAGAGGAGCAGGAGACCACAGAGTTCAACCGGACCGCTCCACACCAACAGAACCACAACAAGACCTTCTAATCCCGTTTACCTCGTCCATCACCATCATCTGGACTCTGTCCACCTTTGCCACGCCCTTTTTGATCAGGTCCAGGATCCGACCAGGGGTGGCGATGACCACGTGCACTGAAAACACAAGCACGTTTACTGGAGAACACAAAACCAGCCACTGGGGAGCAGCAGCCGGTGCATCTCTGGTTCTGGTCCTAAGCCCGGGTAAACGGTGAGGGTTGTGTCAGGAAGGACATCTGATGTAAAACACTTTGACTAAAACTACAATGAGAGTTCATCAAAGAGAAACCAGACCGGATCAGTCCAGGTCCGGGTTAACAACGACAGGTGCTGGTGAAACAGGGTGCTGGTGGAAACTGTTACTGTGAGTTGAAGACCGTGAGGAGAGAAACGTGTCAGGAGACCGAGGAGAAGAGGAAAGTGAAGAATGTAGGACTGAGGGTTGCAGCTCTAAATGTGGGGACAATGACAGGCAAAGGTAGAGAGCTGGCTGACATGATGCTGAGAAGGAAGGTAGATGTTTTATGTGTCCAAGAGACCAAGTGGAAGAGCAGCAAGGCTCGCAGCATTGGAGCAGGGTTCAAACTGTTTTACCATGGTGTGGATAGAAAGAGGAATGGAGTAGGGGTGGACCTGAAGGAGGAGAACACTTATTTCCAAAAGAGGGAGGAGCATAGAGTGACCTATAAGAGTGGAGGAAGGAGTACGCAGGTCGACTACATTCTGTGTAGAAGAGGAAACCTGAGGGAGACTGGAGACTGTAAGGTTGTGGCAGGGAGAGCGTGGCCAGACAGCATCGGATGGTTGTGTGTAGAATGACTGTTGTGAAGAAGAGAAAAAGAGTCAAATCAGAGAAGAAGACCAACTGGTGGAAGATGAAGAAGGAAGAATGTTGTGAGAAATTCAGAGAGGAGCTGTTAAAGGCTCTGGGTGGTAAGAAAGAGCTTCCAGATGACTGGACTACTACAGCAACAGTAATTAGAGAGACAGGTAGGAAGGTACTTGGTGTGTCATCTGGACAGAATGGATGATCAGGAAACCTGGTGGTGGAATAGTGAAGTGCAGGAAGATGTTCAAAGAAAGAGATTAGCCAAGAAGAAATATGACAGAGAGAGGACTGAAGAGAGGAGACAGGAATAGGAGGAGATGGGACGTAGAGCAAAGAGGGAGGTAGATAAGACAAAGCAGAAGATGTATGATGAGTTGTATGGCAGACTGGACACTAAAGAGGGAGAGACCAGTTATGTTGTCTGGTCAGGAGACAGAGACATGGACAAAAAGACAGGAGACAGAACTGGAAGTGTCAGAAATGAAGATGTTGAGGTTCTCCTTAGGAGAGACAAGGATGGAGAAGATAATCAGAGGTACAGCACAGGTTGAACAACTGGGAGATGAAGTTAGAGAGGACACAGGAGGACACAGGACACAGTGAGATGGAGGACTCTGTGGAGACCCCTGAACAGGGACCGGCTGAATATTTTACACACAGATCAGGTTAACGACACGGAGCTCTGAGCAGCTCCTCTTCTACCTGAGCCAGGTGTGCTCAGTAACTGAGGGGGCGGAGTCCTGGAAGGGGCGGAGTCCTGTGAACTTTAACGCTCCGTAAAAAGGACGTCTGGTTGGTCCATTAATCTGGACGTTACCTCAGACAGGTGAGTTTAGACTGCAGGCTCTTAACGAGGCTCAGAACCAGCTGATTAATTAACGAGCATCAACTGGACCGAACGTTTCGTTGCAACCAGCACAACAGAAACCAGTCAAACCAGTTAGTCAGGTGCACTTTGTGTTTATAATTCCAAACAAAACTGACAACAAAACAAACAACTTTAGATTTTTATAAAATTAAACTGTTCCTGCGTGTTTTAAAGCAGCGCGACATTTATTCAGTTTAGATTGTTGACCTGAAGCGTCACGCTTTCCCTCAGAGTTGAGACAAACAACAACAACAGCCGCGAGACAAACAACAACAACAGCCGCTGAAAGACAAACAACAACAAGAGCCGCGAGACAAACAACAGCAGCAGCCGAGAGACAAACAACC